TCCATCTTTGACCCATCTTCAGTGTTCTGACTGAGGGAAGAAGGTTCTCAGCCAAGATTTTGCAATACATGGCCCCGTCCATTGGCCCCACAGTGCAGCAAAGTTGACCTGTACCTTTAGCAGAGAAACATCTCCAAAGCATAATGTTTCCACCTCCGTACTTAACTGTCATAGTCTAGGGTCATAGTCAGCATTTTTCTTCCTCCAAACACAGAGTCGAGTTAATGCCAAAGAGCTCAATTTTGGTCTCATCTGAAACAGCACTTTCTCCTAATCCTTCTCTGAATATTCTGTCTCTATCATTTAAAATGCACCTATGATAAAAACGATAGACCCTTTATTTCTTTGTAAGTGGGCAAACTTACAAAATCTGCAGGGGATCAAATAATAATTTTTTTACACTGTGTGTATATATATATATATATATATATATATATATATATATATATATACACAGGGGCGGACTGACCATTTGGAAACATTTGGCACTGCCCGAGGGCCCGGGGTCAGTAGGAGGCCCCATGAGATGCCCCTGGTACCTTTTTCATTGGCCTTTTTTGAGTTTGGGCAAGGACACAGGGGCCCCATGATCCCCTATTGCCCGGGGGCCCCATGAGTTGTCAATCCGCCCCTATATATATATATATATATATATATATATATATATGTGTGTGATCACATGCTCTCCGTTCTTAGCTGCATAAGGGGCAGGGGAGGATAAACAGCATGCACTGATCATCCCAGTGAATTGCTGTGCAGGGGGTGGGGCATGTCAGCACAAGGCTGATCATTGGATTAGCTCACAGCACAGCCAGAAAACTTTTTTACTAGAGGGCTGTGTCAGTGTGCTTCACTGTAATCACACTGCTCTGGATGGATGCACAGCCATCCAGAGCAGTGTGCCCGAGATGACAGGCAGGAGGACTGTTAGTAAACAAAGGAGTTTCTCCTCCATCTCAGAGATGCCTGGTAATCACCGGGGCCGGCGGGTAATCACCAACCAAGACCTGGTGATTGACAGCGCACGTCCCTTACCCAGAAACACAAAATTATGTATATACGTGATTATGCGCACCCCTGCCGCTCTGTAGCAGTATATGTGCTATAGGGCGGTCGGGAAGAAGTTAAAGAAAAAAAAATTCTGGGTTGTATACCACTATTTGTAGCCACTATAACTATCACAAAAAACAATTAATGTACACTTATTGGGATTTTTTTTAGCAAAGACATGTCGCAGAATACATTTTGGCCTAAATTTATGATGAAATTTGATTTTTTTTTAGCTTTTACTGGATATGTTTTATAGCAAAAATTCAAAAATATTGTCAGTCTTTTTTTGTTTATAGCGCAAAAAATAAAAACAGCACAGGTGCTTTTTGTGGGGGGAGACATAAATTTCATTTATGTACAGCGTTGCATGACTGTGCAATTGTAAGTTAATGTAAGTTAATGTAACACAGCGCCGTATCGCAAAAAATGGCCTGGTCAGGAAGGGGGGTAAATCCTCTGGAGGGAAAGTGGTTAAAGATGTAAAAATATTGACACACAAAACAAAAAAAAAAAAAAAAAAAGTTTAAATATTATTAATAAGATAGAAACTAACAAAAAAATCATTCAGCAGGAAAATAATAATTAAATGGAGAAGGAGAATAAGGAGTTAGGGTTAATTAGAGTAAACTAAGGGTTAATAAGGGCTTACACAGAGGAACATTTATTTAACCAGCTGCCGACCGCAGATAGCCGAATGACGGCTTCACTGCGGCCGGCCAGTTCTGAGTGGACGTCATATGACGTCCTCCCAGAACGCGCGCCCCAGGGGGGCGCGCACCCGGCGATCTCCGTGATCGCTGTGTCCTACGGACACAGCTGAACACGTGATGTGGTAAAAGGCCAATCACAGCGGCCTTTTACCACCTGATCAGCGGTGTCCAATGACACGCTGATCAGAAGGAAATGCAAGTGCCGGTTCTCGGCTGCACTTTCCTCACGCTGTCAGATCGTGAGGAAAGTACTGCTGAGAACCGACAGTTGTCAGAGCGGGGATCGGCACCGATCATCAGGGCACTGATGATCAGTGCCCTGATGATCGGTGCCCAGCAGTGCCACCCGCAAGTTCCGCCCAGCAGTGCGCCCACTAGCTCCGCCCACCCGTGCCCATCAGTGCACCCACCTGTGCCCAGCAGTGCACCCACCTGTGCCACTCTGCAGTGCCACCTACCTGTGCCCAGAAGTGCCACCTACATGTGCCCAGCAGTGCCACCCACCTGTGCCCACCCACCTGTGCCCACCAGTGCCACCCACCTGTGCCCACCCACCAGTGCTGCCCACCAGTGCCACCCACCAGTGCAGCCCAGCAGTGCTGCCAGTCAGTGCCCAGGGGTTGTGCCAGTCAGTGCCGCCAGTCAGTGCCCAGCAGTGATGCCAGTCAGTGCCGCCTATCAGTGCTGCATATTAGTGCCGCCTATCCGTGACCCCTAATTAGTGCTGTCTATCAGTGCCGCCTATCCGTGCCACCTCATTAGTACTGCCTATCAGTGCCCTTTAGTACTGCCTATCAGTGCCACCTATCAGTGCCCATCAGTGCTGCCTCATCAACGCACATCAGTGAAGGAGAAAAAATATCTGTTTGAAAAATTTTATAAAAGAAACAAATAAACTTTTTTTTTTTTTCAAATTTTTTGCACTTTTTTTATTTATAGCGCAAAAAGTAAAGCGCCCAGTGGCGATTAAATACCACCAAAAGAAAGCTCTATTTGTGAGAAAAAAAATGATCAAAATTTCATATAGGTACAATGTTGCATGACCGCGCAATTGTCAATCAAAGTGCGGCAGCACTGAAAGCTGAAAATTGGCCTGGTAAGGAAGGGGGTATAAGTGCCGGTAGGCAAGTGGTTAAAGAAGAACATTTTTTTTCACTTGTCTGGTTGCTTCATATGCAGATCCCTTTGATCTGTAGATGAATAAACAGATACAAAATGAAACAATGTTTCTTTTGAGTAATGTTGTTGATAGACATTGGCAGACTGCTTTAGTATGACAGCTCCAGCTGTCTGAACTTTCTCAGTGTACTGAGCAATGCCACTTTGATTAATCAGAGCTGAATTGCCGAGTACTGGAACAGGGGAGGTCCTGGATGCAGGGCAGAAAGACGCCTTGTGTACAATGATGACAATTTTGGGGGCATGTCTAACACATCCAGAGTCTGCAACTGGTTCAAGTTTAACTAAGGCATGGTTCTTTACATGGTTCTTTTTTTTGTTGTTGTTCTACCAGTGAGCAAAACAAAAAAAAAAAAAGAACTGATTCATTAAAGTGTTACTAAACCCAGTAATATCAGTCTGTATATGCAGTAAAGCATGCTTGTTATACTCACTGTGGAACCTAAGGGGTTAATCCACTGCATTGTGTAAAAACTGTTTGATCTGTGTTTTCTGATCCTCCCCTTCCTCCAGTGCCCCCTCTTATCTCTTGATACAACATATCATATGGAGACTCTCTGCACATGCTCAGCTTGGTGTGTATTACTAAAGAGGTTTTTTTTTTCTTGGAAGAGTGCATGTGATCAGCACAGGGCCAATCAGCACTGTCCAGACAGAGGTCAGGGGTCCTACATCCTCCTACAGCAGAATGAAAACTCCTCCTACAAGCTTTAACCAGTGCTCTGCTGGACACTGATAGAAGTCACAAGACTGCTCTAACTGCTGATAAGAAAAGGTATTTAGCAATTTATATTTACTAAAATAATTGCTTTTCCATGTTCTGTGTACTGTAGGAGACCAGATATAGTGAATGCAGGGTCACTTTAATTGTGGTGGATGGCGGACTCATGCCTGCTGAGTGGTTGTATTCTGCCAGAGGGGAACCTTCCTTGCCGGCAGAATACAATGATCAGTGTTGCTGGCTATAGCTGGTGGCACTGATCATTCAGGAAAAACCTGGCAGTCTGGTTGTATACATGATTGATAGAACCAGCTTGCCCATACATGGTACAAAATTCAGCTGGTCCAAGCTGAACTGGCTGAATTACGATCCATGTATGGCTGGTTCACACCATACAAACGCAGTCCAGATCTGTTTCTGCATGCGCGTTTTTGATGTCTTCCAGTGTGTTTTTGATGCCTTTACTTCCTGTTTTGGCTATGGGACAGGAAGTGAAGGTAAATCTCCCCAATGGGACACAGATGGCAAAATCTAGTCTAACAGGGGATATAACCTTCCCTTACTCTGTCCAAAGTAAAAAAAAAAAAAAAAGTTCAGCGCATAGTTGTACTTGAAGAATACATACTGGAATAGAACTTCTAAACCAGAGTTTGGTCCTCTACCAATGAATAGGAATGTACTGAGACACAGGTACGGGCGCGTTATAATGCCTCATGCCCAGGGGCGGACTGACCATTTGGAAATTTGGGCACTGCCTGAGGGACCGAGGTCAGTAGGGGGCCCCCTGAAATGCCCCTGGTAACTTTTTCATAGGCTTGAGTTTGGGCAAGGACACAGGAGCCCCATGATCCCCTATTGCCCGGGGGCCCCATGGAGTTGTCAGTCCGCCCCTGCCATACCTTATAGTGTACACTGTGCTGTGAATGAGCCCCACATGTAAACATCCGGCCCTTGCAACACAGCCATAGCAGCCCATGTGGAAACACTGGGATAGGATATTAGTAAACAGTGTGGTGACAACATTGTGACCAGCGAGGAGCAGTGAGAAGGTCCATGTAGTGAGGAGTCCCCGGGACACACCTAGCAGTGACGGAGAGAGAGTGACACCCCGGGCGGCATTACCTGAGACACACAATACAGTCCATGTCGTGGCCCGGCCCCTCCCTGCTCCCCTCCCCCGCTCTCTCTACACCTTTTCCTGCACCCATACGGCTCCATTTTCTGCTGTGGTGTGAGCAGTGCGGACTTCTGAGCGGTCCTGCTCGCCGGTACACCCCCTTCCTCACACTCGGACTTTACCCAAACTCTGAGGAAAACCCCCCGAACATCGGTCACTAAGTATGCGGCGGACTCCGGCCGGAGGAGGCGTCCTTCTACTCTTACTGGTGAGTGTGTGTCCTGGTGGTGGTGAGGGGGGGATAGAACATACCCTGGACTGTCTCAAACACAGCCCCCCCCCGAAGGAGAACGGTGATCGTAATACCGTGTATGTGAGGGCTCACCTCACCTGTGGAACAGTCCACACCTGGCCACCCCGGAACCTGCATACTCCATACTGCCCAGCATACAGATCACCCACCACACGATTTCATTATTACTGTGCATGATTGTACATGGAGCCTTCTGCTGGAATGGCATGTCAAGCCAAGACCTGCCTGTAGTTGTAGACATAGAAGGGTTAAAACCATCTATTTACTTTTTAGGGGCAACAGAAACATAAATAGAAGGGTCCTGACAAAAGAATAGACCAAGAGCTGCATCAAGTCTGCCTAAAATAATGTGTTTTACATTTTTTTTGTTTGTTTACTTTATTATATACCTGTTATTTTAAATAATAGTTTTATATATATATAGCTAATATTTTATATGTAGTTTTTTAATTCTTATTTATATGGTGTGTGTAATATAAACTTAAAAAGGAGATATATATTTATTACAGGGGCAGACTGACAACTCATGGGGCCCCCGGCAATAGGGGATCATGGGGCCCCTGTGTCCTTGCCCAAACTCAGAAAAGTCTATGAAAAAGGTACCAGGGGCATCTCATGGGGCCCCCTACTGACCCCGGGCCCTCAGGCGGTGCCAAAGTTTCCAAATGGTCAGTCCGCCCCTGATTTATTATTTTATTTATAAATATATATACTTTTTTTTTTTTTTATGTAACTTTTGTTTGTAGGTTTTGTTTTTGTTCTTATTTTGTCTTTTGAGTATAGGTCTATATTTGTCCCAAGCACATTTTTTCCCACCTTCACATGCCAGTTTCATGCGGGCACCAGAATCCGTGCATTCTTGATTCTTGCTCCTGGAATGACCGAGGCATGCGATTAGCTCAGCGGGCTGACAGCCACCTCTGTTCACATGTAGCCACACACAGAGCAGGTTGCTGCAATTAGGGATGGAGGTCCGAGCCAGATAGTGAGTTGTGTCCAGGCTCGGACATCTGTCGCTAACCATTCTTTGTATGGCTACATGTGCACTTGTCCTGGTCATTGCAGCAGATTCTTGTGGCTGGAATCCAGTAAATGGCCGTACAAAAGAGGGCTTACTGTTGACACTCACTACCTCTGCTGGAAGCCTATTCCAAGCATCAACTACTCTTTCAGTAAAATAACTTTTTAAGATTGGTTTTATGAACTCTCCTGCTAGTTTGAGGTCCTCTCTGTGTTGATTTTGGCTTCATATTGAAAATCCTGCTCTCCAGAACCTTATTCACCCCCTTGATGTATTTAAAGGTTTCAGTCATGTCTCCCCTTTCCATTCTTTCCTCCAAACTGTACATATTAAGTTTCTGAAGTCTCTCCATGTCTTATCCCTCAGACCTTTTTCACCATTTTATGTTGCCCATTTCTAGACTCGTTCTATTTTATCAATCTCTTTTTGTAAGTGAGGTCTCCAGGCAGAAATGGCCCTTTACTTCCTGTCCCAGAGACTCAACAGGAAGTTAGAAGAACTCTACCAAAGCAATGGACAGCCTCTTAGGCTTCTTCTACAGAGGTGGCAGGCTCTGAAAACCAATCTGCTGCAGATTGCTTTTCAGATCCCAGTTGACAGGAAGCAATATTTCTGCCTCTTGATTGCCCATTTTAGGATCCCAAGGGGGATTTAACACTGAAATTCCATACCTTATCTGCAATGCAGTCCCATTGACTTTAATTGGCAGGTATAATGTGATGAAAGTAGCACATTGTAAAGGGACCACAAGAACTAGTGTGAGAAGCACATTCAGCAGTAAACTGACCCCATCCCTCCCTGGTGTCCCTTTAAAAAGTTTGGAATGGGATGAATTGGCAATCATAGTGGTCACAGAAGCAGAAACGTCAAATTTGGGGTTTTCTTAATGTTTTTTTTTTTTCCCCTGTGACATTGGTCACCAAGAAAAATGAATCGGCGATTGTCCCCAATGGGGACACCGCAACAAACCCTAACAGAGGATCTAACCCTTCCCTACTCTTTCACAATCTAAAGAAAACAGTTTGGTCAAAAGATGCACTCAGATACTTCCAATAGAATGAATTGGAAATAATCTGGTGACTTTTTGGGCCTATTATTATTATATAGGATTTATATAGTGCCAACAGTGTTCAGCGCTTTACAAAATATGGTCATGTAAAAGAAAGTGATAGTGACCACTGTGTAGTTGAAGCCAATGTTGTCACCTTATGTAACGTCTCTGAGATCAGTGTATTTCTACAGTGGGTACTGTCAGGTGTTTCCAATCAGTCAGACCGGAAGACTGTACAAATCAATGACAGGCTGACACTATCCACAGCTGTTCACATGTGATCACACATGTTCCGACTACCTCCATGGTAGGAACATGCGACCCTGTACTTGAACTATCTGCTTAATGTAAATATTCATTTGGGTGGTGTATGGTCCTAATCCACTGTTTGCATGGGCCCATGTGTGCCAGTTCTGAAGGGATCAGGTCAGAAAGAACCATTACTGCATTAAAACCCTTGTCACACAGGCTTCCTCCACTCCGTCTCCGTAGGGGAATTCAGAGACTGAGTCACATCAGTACAGATGACATTCATGTCTGTTCCAGTTTCTCCTCCATCTTGTGATTGGGGAGGGGGTGGGGCATATAAACCCTACTAGCAGCTGGATGCAAATGGACATATCTGCCCACATCCAGTTAGGTCAGTAAAACTGGACCTGACCTGACCTGAACACATACTTGGCAGGTGTAGGTAGACGCACAAATGCTTACATCTGAACGCCCATAGGGATACATTGCATTCCATTTTTTGATCTATGTAATCAAGGTCAAATGTGGACCACTGAGAAAGAGACCTAAGAGGTTTCCAAGATGTTGTGTTGAATTTTTCTTCATCTGATAGCTAATCCTTTCTATTCCTATAGATGAAAAGAAAGCAATTCTTTACCAGGCATGTGCTGCATACATCTATTGGCCTGTTCAGGGAGAAGACAAAGGTGGATCCTGGTGACTCATGACTTAGTAATTGTCTGCTGCTGCATGTGCTGTGGTCACACTAAAGCAATTTCTGCACTATTTGATGCTACCAATTTAAATGCACATTCAACCAAAACATTTCATTTTTTTTTTTTGGGGGGGAATTGAATGGGGAAGGTTGGAACCAATGACCTTTTTTTTTCCTACTGTGGGGCTTTATTAGAAAGATTTTCCCTCTCTGCCTCAGTGAGAACAGTTTCACCAGACAGAACAGGAATAAAAATCTTGAATAGCAACACAGACAAATAAAAATTCATTTTTAACAGAGCAGAGGAAAGCTAGAGACCCTGTCAGCCTTTTGTCTCTGTGGTTCCCGATGCAAATTTTTGCTCACTCTCTCTGGTAAAACCGCTATCCTCATGACATTAAGGCCCCCTTCACGTGGGTGGTCCAGCCATGTCCACCTGTCAGTTTATTAGGCAGACCTGATCGGAAGGTTCATGCAGTCCTATGGACTGGTGGGTGTAAACAGAGTTGTGTCCAATTACACCCGCCTACCTCCAGGTTGGACTAGGTCCGCTAAAAAAAATGGAAGGGGATCTATCCTCTTCCATTTAGGCCAATCGGATCAGAGAGTAGTGGGATGTAAATGGACAGTGGAGCCCATATACTCCCGGATGCCCATAGAGCAGAGCAAGCTGTTTGTGGCTGCTCTGCAGAAACTGAACACAGATGTACCCATCTGCCCGCTTTGCTCTGCTCCGATCTGCAGGGGATTTGTGAGTTGTTCCCTGCTGATTGGATCAGAATCTGCTCCATGGGAAAGGGGCCTAAATGGTTCTATTTTTCATGGTTTGCAGGAAAGAAAATTACTTGATTCCCCCATCAACCTTGTCAGTGTTGATAGGAAAACCTTTCCCACAGCACTATTGTATTTTGCCAGCGGGGAGCATTACCGGCTGGCAGAACACAAAGATTACTGCTGGTGGCTATAGCCACGGGCAGTAATTGCATGACAAAAATCTGACAAGCAGGCTGTAATGAAGTTGATAATTTGACAACTACTAGTCATCAGCCACAATGGCTTATGGTACTTGTAGTCTAATTCATTCACAGTCATGTGGGCGGAGCTCAGCACAGCCAGGCTGTTTTCAAATTGTGACAGTGGGTGTAGGGAGAAGCTCCCTACTTGCTGTCACAAAGCAGGGAGCTCTGGCGGGAGGAGGTGGCTGCATAGGAGCATATGGGTGTAACATGCTTCTAAGGGTGAATTTGGCCTTTAAGGTAGAGGAAATCTCTAACACAGCTCCAGATAGCAGTATTAAAGTAGAACTATAGGCAAAACGTGTTTTCATTTTGGACAGAGTAAGGGAGGGTTATAACCCCTGTCAGTTTATTTTTTTCTATCTGAACATTTACCTTCACTTCGTGCCCCATAGCCAGAACAGAAATTAAGAAAATCCCTGCAAATTAAGGGAATTTCCCTGAAACTAGTGTCTCAATTGGAAATTTCTCCTCTATTATGTTGTCAAGTGATAACCCAAAATGTGTGGTTTCTTTTACTTTTACTTTCGATGATAATGGTAAACAGGACAAATGGAGAGTGTGGATCTCTCTAACAGGGGCACAGACAGTAAATACTCCATGACAGGTGTTCTAATCCATCTGCACTCATCCAAAACTAAAAAAAAAAAAAAAAAAAAGTTTTGCCTTTTAGCTATACTTTAATTCAGAAGTGGTTCTAATCCTTCCACACCATATCCATAGTTAAAAATAAGTCTAGGCTGGGCATAGATTTAGATATTTTAAATCTTAAGAACAAAAATGTAGTATATTTCTGCTTCGTTTTCCTGTAGTTTGCTCTTAAGCTTTTTTTTTTTTTTTTTTTCCTTTTAACTTGTGATCCTGTGAGCAACACTCCTGTCCTAAGGTGACAACGATCATTTACCATATTGTATCTGTTCTAGA